ATGTATATATACACTGTATATCAAGGACATTGGAATGTCATTTGCATTGTATAAATGCAGTCAAATGCAAGAGGCAGGTCATCATAATTGAAGGGGTTGAACTACCTGAAGGCAACTTTGCAGATGTCCAGGACAACTACAAATACCTTGGAATCCCAGAGGCAGTTGGCAATGATGATGAGGCCACAAGATAGTCAGCCACAATACCTATAGAGAGTAGGTCAAGTCCTGGAGATTCAGCTGAACAGCAAGAACAAAGTCTGAGCCATCAATGCAAATGCAGTGCCAGTCATCAGATATCCAGCTGGTATAAAAGCCTGTCCAAAGGATGAGATAGAAGCCACTGACATTAAGACACGAAAGCTTCTCACAACGCTTGGAGACTTTCACCCCATGTTCAGCACCCTGAAACTATATACTAAGAGAACTAGTGTAGGCAGAGGACTAGTGAGTGTCCCAGCCACTATACAAGATGAAATTACTAGGATCCTGCAGTACATCAGGAGGAAAGTCCCCAATGATGAACTTATGAGTGAACGTCTCAGGCGGCAGCAGAAACCCAATGTGAAAGAGGTGGAACAAGAGAAGCCATCATGGAAAGGTAAACCTTTGCACTGCAAGTACCACCGGCAGATTGAGGTGGCTGGTATCAACAAATCCTACCAGTGGCTAGCATAATATACAGGAACAGCTGTGCTGAGTATGGACTGGAGGTCCCACAGTCAAAGTGAGAGACGCCACTAAGGGTGTTGGAGAATAGAAGGACTAAGCTACTGTGGGACTTCCAGATCCAGACCAAAAAAGCTGGGGACGGCTAACCAACCGGACATTGTGGTGGTCGATAAGCAAGAGAAAAAGGCAGTGGTGATAGATGTAGCAATCCCAAGTAACATCAGAAGGAAGAAGCAACTTGAGAAATACAAAGGGCTGAAAGAGGAAATGGGACCCCCAAACTGGAAGAGTGGCTCCAACAGATCCCAGGAACAGCCTCAAAGATCTCCGTCCAGAAGATTGCAGTCCTAGAAACAGCTGATACTCAACAGAACCCTGAGAACCCAGCCCGCTTGTAGAAAACCCCAGTTTGAAGTGAAGTGGAACTAAGTGGAAGA